TGACTAAAATTAAAAACCCCTACTATCACTACGTTATTGTGTCTAGAAGCCCTAACAATTTCGTCCCAAAGAAGTCTCCCTCTATCGTGATCCAAGCCTGGAGGTCGGTATATTACACTTAGAATTAGTTTTTCTTGACCTTCTACAAACTCTACTCAAACAAATTCTGTTACTGTTCCATCTATTTTTATACCTGTTTTTATGCAACAATTAATATTTTCTCGAACATATAATGCAACTCCTCCCCCCTTCCCATTACATCTATCCACATGGAACAACTGAAACCCTTGAATATTACACTCAGCAATCATATCCTGACTCTTTAAATCATACCACGTTTCAGTTAATGCAATGACATCAAAGTTCCCAGCACATGCTACCAAACGTAGTTCATTAATTTTATTTCTTGCACTTCAACTGTTAGCATAAAATACCATCATATGTTTTTCTTCTGCACATTTTTCCTGTTCACCTTTGTTTTTACACAATTTCTGAAATTATCATTACCCAGAGTTACTCCATGACAGTTACTATTAACCCTTTCAGGGTCGAGAGGCCCTCTCCTAAACTTGTTCTCAGGGTCAAAAATTTTCGGAAAAAATAAAATTATTTTTTCTTATGAAAAGATAGAGAATCTTTTCCCAATCATAATGACACCAAAGGTATAAAATTTGATGGAAAGCTTACGGAATTATGCTCTCACGAAGTTAGCGGTCTCAACGATGTTTACGCATCAGCGATTTTGCCGACTTTGAGCCCTATTTTTGGTCAATTCCAGTGTACTAGTCGACAAAAATCATAACTATTTCGCTAGAACTCCATTTTTCCTATCGAATGAGTACAAGAAAACACCCATTTACCGATTCCAACTATCCAATAAGTGGTCAGAAATTAGCAATTTTGGCAGTTTCACACAAATTTCAAAAGATGCCAATTTCCAAATAGGGTCCAGAATAAACAAGACAGACATTCCTGGCACTAAAATAACATATCCTCTGTTCATTAGTCACATCCCCAGACCCCTCTTACATTTTTTTTTGCTTTCCACTTTGAATTTTTATTCTCACAAAAATAGAAGATTTACTGTTATGCAGACTACTGCATTAGTGTATAAATGGTATAAATAATAGTGCACTTGTGAAAGAATATTAGACTCACCAGTTGACGTGTATTGGACGCATGGCATGATTTGTTTACTTTTGAACTTGGCAAAAATCGAACATTTCTGCTACTTTGAGCTCAATTCCAAGGTACTTTTCATTGTGAAACCAATCAAAATCCTCTCAATTTCTGTAATATGTCTTCCATTCTATAAAATGAGACCAGGAAAACTAGAATACAACCATCAATACCATACGAAAATACAGTGCAAAGTCGCTGTTTTAAACCTAAAACATGGTCAAAGTTTTTTTTCTCATTATACACTGTGCTGCAGGATCTTTTTTATACTGTGCACACTAACCACATAGACCCATTCTTTCATATGTAGGCCTACCAGCTTTCTCTTGCTAGATTTGAAGGCGCTAGAATTTAGGCGTACTAGTACATCAATAACCCTGGTGCGTAAGCCATACTATGTACGTCGGAAACCCTGAAAGGGTTAAGGTTCTTAATATCAGAGCATAAGTCAATATATCTATACTCATTATTTATCATTTCTAAACCCATAACTCTAACTAAACCTAGTTTAAAGTCCTAACAACCCCCTCAACTGAGCTAGCAAGAAAACCCACACCTGCCCTGGATAAGTGAACCCCATCCCTGGCATACATGTCATTTTGGCCATAGAAGTTGTCCCAGTTGTCAATGAATGGTACTGCACTATCCTTACAGTGTTTATCCAGCCAACAATTAATACCAATTGCTCTGGACAACCATTCATTACCAACACCCCTTCTTGGGAAAATGCCACATATAACAGGGTCCCCCCCCCTTCTTCCTAATTATCTCTATTGCTGTCCTGATTATTATTATTATTATTACAATCAAGGGGGAAGCGCTAAACCCGGAGGATTATACAGCGCCTGGGGGGGGGGGATGTGGAAGGCATTCAGGCTTAATTTGGGGAACTGGAGCACAGATCCAATTCCCTAAATCAAGAGCCCCTCACCAACATCAAGGAACCTTCCTTGAGGGGTTGCTGTCCTGAACCTTCTAACTAAATCCTCACTTCTATGCTTGCCTACATCATTGCCTCCAGCACTGAGGCAGATAATAAGATTGATCCCATTACCGTTCATGATGTTGTCAAGCCAGCTAACAGTATACTCCATCCCAGCCCCAGGAAAGCAAACCCTCTGTCTCCTACTCCTATTTTTCAAGCAGAAGGCCCTATCCCTAACAACAACATTCTTACCTTCCTTAGTGTCGTTCATTGTGACATTCCCAGTAGTCAACTCACATTCGTCGGGTAGCATGGAGAATGCATTAGATCTTTCCACAACAGTGTCTTTCTTCTTCATCGTTTCTACCTTTCCATTCGTCTTCTTGATCGTAACCTTCGTTCCATGCTGTCCAGCCACTGTCCAGGCTCCCTTCTGGACCTGAGGACTCACAACAGGAGGACTAATACATATCCTCTTGTTTTCCTCAGTCAATCGCTGTATCTCCATCTTCGCCACCCTCAATTCCTCCTTAAACTGCTGGTAAAGTTGCTCGATGGAGGGCATCTTGGTTCAGCCCGCAGAGAGCACACTTGACACATTCTCACTGAGCTAAGTGCAGGTCACCACTGTTCATATACTGGTTTTTGGGAAGCACAATGAGTTCACCAACACTCTAAGCACTGAAACACCCCCAAATCATAAGCAAGTCTGGGTGTTTGGTGGTCTCACAGGTGTGGCATGGGTCTAGTGGGTCACTACCTCTGGGCCAGTACACGTCCCTCACGGTTACAGGTGACAGTGAAGGATGCTTCATCACCCCAAAGTACTTCAGACCAATGTTGAGGATTCCAATGAAGATATTTCTTTGCATAATCCAGCCCATGTTTCTTTTGTGGCTTGGAGAGGATCGGTTTCTTAACCCTTTGACTGTCACAACCCCAAATCCTGAGGTGTCTTCTGGTGTCGCAAAATATATGAAAAAAAAAAAATTCTTATGAAATGATAGAGAATCTTTTCCCAATGGTAGTGACACCAAAAGAAAGAAATTTGATGGAAAACTTATGGAATTATGCTCTCGCAAAGTTAGCGACCTCAGCAATATTTACGAATCGGCAATTTCGCCCACTTTGAGCCCTATTTTCAACTAATGCCATTGTTCCAGTCGACCAAACTTATAGCTATTTCTTTAGAACTCCATTTGTTCTAGTGATTCAGTACAAGAAACTGCCCATGTACCAATTTCAACTACCCAATAAAGTAGTCAGAAATTGGCAATTTGGCCAATTTCAAGAAAATTAAAAAATATTCCAAATTCAAAATAGGGTCCAGAATGAACAATGCAGACATTCCTGGCTCTAAAATAACATTTTCTTTGTTCATCAGTCATGTCTCCAGGCCCCTCTCATATTTCTTGCTTTCTATTTTAAATTTTTATTCAAACAAAAAATAGATGATTTACTGTTATGCAGACTACTGCAATATTGTAATAATTGTATAAATAACGTCAACCCATTCATGACTGCATATTAGAATGGCTAGTTGGACATTTATTGGACAATGACATTTCTTTACTTTTGAACATCGGCAAAAATCAAACATTTACCCCACTTTGAGCTCCATTTCAAGGTCATTTTCATAGTAAAACCAATCAAAATCACCTCCATTTCTGTAATATGTTTTCCATTTTATCAAATGTGACTACAAAAACGAGAATATACCCATAAGAACTATACGAAAATACACCTAAAAGTTGGCGTTTTAATCCAAAAACTCGGTTGGAGTTCTTTTTTTCTCATTATGCACTGCTTGCTGCAGGATTTTTTTTATACTGCACACACTGACCACACAGACCCATTCTCTCACATGTGGGTCTACCAGCTTTCTCCTGCTTGATTTGAAGCCGCTAGAATTTTTGAGTATAAATACGTCAAACACATTAGCTCGTAAGACATATATATACAACCGAAACAGTAAAAGGGTTAACCTGGCAGTGACTACTGTAGCCCAAATCTGACACATCTGTTAAAAGTTCTTACAGACACCTTTGAGAGAAGATGTGGGTTCTTTTCTTTATATTCTCTAGCAGTTATCTTAGGTGTACTCTCTAACTGCTTTTTTAACACAGTTAAGGTATGAACAAATGTCTTCTTCAAGGGGTCAGGCCGAGGTTTGGCAGACGGTAACTCAACACCACCACCAGCCTTGAAACGTTGCACCTAGTTCCTCACTGAACGTTCACACACACTAACATTCTCCACTATTTCTTTCGTCTGATGGTCAGCTTTGTGAAGCCCTATGATATGAGCTATAGTTTCAGGTGTTAAAGACTTCCTGTTACCCATAATCAAACATGTATAGCCCTAAAACCAAAGGGAACACCAGACAAAAGATGAAGCAGATGAAAGACAAAAGTGCAACACTTCCTCGCACCACAGCAGCCACGTGAGCACTGAGGAGACACTGTGGAGTGTGGTGGCAAGCCGTATGGCAGGCCTTTGATTTTCATCACGGCATTATGCCGGAGCACTCACCCGGCATAATGTCACGACTAGCACTGTACACATTTATCTAAACTCTTCAGTACATAATTCTCACATCTTCAACTATTACTCATCTACTGTATTTTCAACTTCTATTAAAATGGTATATATTTCTAATTGTTTAAATTCATATAAAGACAAAGCTTAAACATTTTTGAAAACTTAAAATGTTATTAAATACATATTTTTCTATCCTCCATATTCTCAAAGCTGCATTAAACCAACTAGAGATATGGATGAAATCAAAGGTTTCAAAAAGTGATAAAAAGATAAAAAGGAGATATATGAAAAGCAAAATAAAAACAACAAATTTACAGTAGCTGAAAAAGTACACTGTGTACCATCTGATATTTACCATAACATGAAAATCAACAGCAGGTTCATGATCTGTGTCACGATAGGTAGCTTCAAGCAGAACTGTGATTGTTCCTGAGGACTCTGGGTGTCCACTGCTGGAAGTGCCATTTTCATTGGCTGACTGTAAAGGACGCTTGCATGAGGGGCTGCTAGGGTTGTCAGAGGAGGAGAAGAAGAGGGTCCACCGCTGTAAGTCTACACATTGCTGTCAACAAGTGAAAACAATATTAGCTTTCTATTTTGTAATAATAATAATGCAGTAAACTTTGATAAAATGGACCAATGAGGGTATGATGAGAGGTATTGTCAGATTATTATTACATATAATCAAAACTAAGCACTAAACCCACAAGGGTTAAAAAGCACTGCAGGGTAGGGAGTAGTATAACGGAGGTAGGGTTTGTGAGTGCGGTGAGGAGTGCTAAAGGAAGTACAATGGACCCCAAGTTTCGGCAGCATCAACTTTCCTGAAATTCGACTTTCGGCAAGTTTTTTCGGCAAACTTTGGCCTCGAGTTTCGTGATTAGACTCGTGATTCAGCGACCATCCGGAACCCATCCGCCCGTCACCGCGCACATAAAGTCAGTCTCCCACGCCATTCATGCTCAGTGTGCCATTGTTTACCAACATGTGACCATCACCCCGTGGGTTCATACGTAATAATCCATTTGTTTTTTTGTGATTGCAACTGCTAAATAAGTCACCATGGGCCCAAGGAAAGCTAGTGCAAGCCCTTTGGTAAAGAAAGTGAATAACACAATCCAGAGGGATTTTGAAGGGTTTGAGGCAGACCCTGACCCTGCCAACCCTCTGCCTGTTGTGGAAGGAGTTGTGGCATTGGGAAAGTCCATGGGATTGGAGGTGAGTGACAGGGATGTGGAAGAGTTGGTGGAGGACAACAGGGAAGAGCTAACCACTGACGAACTGCAAGAGCTTCAACTGGAACAGCATCAGACCACAGCTGAGGAACTTGCTTCAGAGGAGGAGGAAAAGAGAGTGAAGGAGGTGCCTTCTTCGGTGATTAAGGACATGTGCTCAAAGTGGAATAAGTTCCAAAGTTTTGTTGAAAAGTATCACCCTGACGAAGCCGAAACAAGCCATATCTGCAACATGTTCAGTGACAAAACCTTGTCCCACTTCAGGCAAATCATAAAGAAATGCCAGAAACAGACCTCTCTGGACAGATATTTTGTACGACAGGGGTCCAGTGACTCTCAAGTTGTTCCCAGTGGCATTAAAAGAAGAAGGGAAGTAACCCCAGAAAAGGACTTGCTACCTGAAGTCCTAATGGAAGGACATTCTCCTTCCAAACAATAGTGTACACCTTCCTCCTATCCCCTCCTCCCATCTTCCATCCACCCAGAGGTCTTCAGTAAAGATAAGTGTAATGTTATTATTTTGTATATGCACGTACTTGATTTCTGATTTTTTCAGTATGTAAATCTTTATTTAATTTGAAAAAAAAAAATTATTTTAATATTTGTGGGTGTCTGGAACAGATTAATTTTATTTCCATTATTCCTTATGGGGAAAATGGTTTCGAGTTTCGTGAATTTCGACTTTCGGCAGGCTCTCTGGAACGGATTAATCATGAAACTCGGGGGTCCACTGTACAATCAAAGGTTATGCAAAAAATCTGTTGCTGTCAAAAAGTCAAAGAGGGAGTCTGTGTTAACCTTTTCAGGATTGACAGGCTCTCTCCCAGACTTGTTCTCAGGGTCGAAAAATATTCGAAAAAAAAAATTCCTATGAGAAGATAAGAGATTTTATCTAAACTTTATAGGCTAAAAAAAATTTTTTTGCCATCAATACTTACTGAGATATGGAAGCGTGAGGTTGACAGAAATTGAACCGCATACGGCAACATTGCCGACTGCCAGTCACCCGATAAAAGTTTTTGTTTTTTCTTTTTTCTATTATTTTTTAATATCTTTTCTTTTCAAGTAACTTTTATGGCCTGTGAGACCAATATGAGCACTGTTTTGTAAATATTTATTCTTTCTATACTACACAATAACTGCACAAATGCTGTTGTCATTATATTGTTTACAAAACTTATTTACACAAATGAACAATGTAAAATGTTGTTTATTACCATCTTTCTATATTTTATATACACATATACAGTCACAGGACATGTTTCTAAAAGTTCTGCAGCCTGTGCAAGTCTCTGAAACATAGTGTCATACACAGTGGTGTTTACACTCCTCACACATAAAACAAGTGGCTCTGCATTGTTGTGGTGGGCATTTTTTTTATATGTGCACAGACGTAGCACCTCTTCTCAGCCTTTTTCTTGAAAGCAGTAGCAGGAAGTTTTATTAGGAAGTGATCACCAGCCCTTAGACGAGAAGGTAGTTCTTGAAAATTTAGTGGGCAGTTTTCTAATGCAGGTGTTGTTCCTTGGTACTTGAGTATTATTTGTCTGATGACAGAAACAAAATTCGCCATGTGGTGGTTTGTTTCTGGTCCTCATCTTATACATATTATAAGCATTGAGCATAAAAATGTCCAGAATATGGAAAAAGAGTTTTATGTACCACTTATAACTCTTGCGAACACAATCAGCAAACCCAATCTGCATGTCACATTTGTCCACTGAACGCATATTGAGGGTGTAGTCCATCACAGCTGCAGGTCTTAGAATAGGTTCATTGGTCTCTCTATTCTGTCTGCCAGTGTTTGTCATTTCATTAGGGTGAACTGATGACAACAGTGTGACATCTCGTTTGTCATGCCACCAAAATGCCATAATGTCATTGGCAGCAAACGCCTGCACCTCACCTCAATGCGTGCCATCAAACCTGGGCACATTCTTACGATTTCCACGCACTGTGCCACACACATCTGTCATGTTCACTCCCAAAAAAGCACTGAGTGAGGGGCTTGTGTACCAGTTAACAGTATATAATATATGCCCCTTACCAAGATATGGTTCCAACTTTGTGCTAACCACATCACCAGAGATGCCCAATAACTTCCTCGTATATTTTGCAATGTATTACTTCTAGTGTACACAATAATATCAAATACAAGACCACTGTAGTAGTCACAAAGCACAAACAACTTTATACCAAAGCATTTCCTCTTGCTAAGTATGTACTGCTTGAAAGAGAGTCTTCCTTTGAACAGAATCAAAGACTCATCAGTAACAAGCTTCCTGAAGGGATAAAAATACATACTGAATTTCTGTTTCAGATACACAAACACTTTCCTAATCTTATATAACCTGTCGTTTCTGTCAGGCCTTGTTTTGTCTGAGAAGTGAAGCATACGTAATAGTAGCACAAATCGATTCACTTTTATTACATCGCTGAAACCTGGGGTTGCAATCAGGCGGTCTGTTGAATAGTATGATCTGACACTGTGCTTATCCCCTAAACAATCCAAGCGTATATACACCTTCTTATGTGTAGTGCCCCAAATGTATATACATATACATTTTAATTTTCCTGCCTCCAAATTTGGCACGATTGCCCTGAGATGTCTGGTCAGCATAGAATGGGTCTTAACACTCGGTGTGCACCATATTAAAAAAATCTGGGACCACTTAGTGCCTTGTGCTCTTTTTTTCTATATAAAAAAAAAAGTTTTTTTTTGTCAAAATACTCAGGGTGCTGCGCAAGTGAACATATATAAACATTTGGACCGTTTAAGGGTTATACACGTGTGGCATAAGCATTATTGTGGCAAACAAAAGATACATCTCAGCCACAGTTGTCTCCTTCCACTGGTGTATGCTTGATTTTGGTGTGAGTATTGTGTTTACCATGGTGTACCGAAGTATCTGTTGCTTTCCCTGACAATAATCTCCATCAGGGGTTCGTCAAAGAATAACTCGAAACATTCTAGTTCAGTGGCATTGTTCCCAAGTGTACAAGATGACCGTATTTCACTCTGACTTTCATCAAAGTGATGGGGATTGTCAGCTTCCTGCCAATCCCAGGTGCAGTCTGCTGGTGGGTACTGGGTATTGACAGGTGGTTGTGGTTGTGGAGGCCGGTGTGGTGGGTGGGTGGGGAATGGTGGCCTTTGTTGTAGTTCAGCTGAGTCAGCAGCGTGGGTGGCAGCATGGCCCACTGCTGGTGCCTCACGGCTGGCACCACCACTACCACCACCAGATGCATGCACATTTTTCCATCCCAATTGCAATGCTATCATCTTCATTTTCACTATCTGTTCCTGTTGTACAGCCATGGGATGTACTCCAAGATGTACTCCTTCCCCTTGGAATAGCATATGACACACTACCAGAGTGCATATAGCGTCATATACAGTGGTCCTCGATAATCGTAAGGCTCGATAGTCGTAATTTTCGAAAATCATAACGTTATTTTCGTCAAAACATTGGCTCGTGAATCGTCGTTCGACTTGCAAATAGTCGTTCGTCTGGGACGTGTACACACAGCCCTAAGCCGCCTCACACTCCATTCCCAGCCAGTGTGCCACTGTTTATAAGTGAGTGAGGATGATCCCACGAGTTCATACGATACATTTCATAATATTCCATTTGTTTTAATGCTTGCAACTGCTAAATAAGTCACCATGGCTGCAAACATAGCTTCTACTGCCAGCCCTTTGGTAAAGAATGTCAGAAACACATATAATTTAAGAAAAAGTTTGTAGAAAAATACGAAGGTGGTGGTGGTGGTGGTAGAGTGGAAGCAGTTGTGATAGTGGTTGATGGTGGTAGAGGGTGGTAGAAGGTGGTAGTGATGGTGGTAGCAGTGGTAGGTGGTGGAAATAAATGGTATAAAATACCGACACAATGGAAATATAAACACATATGCAGTATAATGTGATCCTTTATTGACAACGTTTCGCATCATCTCAGCAGCCATCTCAACACGTAGCTCCCCAGTCATACCTCAACGTTACATCAATGCACTTAAAGGTTTAGCAGAAGACACGACCATCAGGGTCACCACCGCTGATAAAAGAGGTGTTGTTGTTATCAAAAACACTGATGATTACAGGAACAAAATGCTCAATATACTTAATGACCCAGATACCTACAAACCTCTCACAACTAACCAAGTGGACAACCCTACTAAAACTTTCCTTCAAAGGACTCGCCGCATTCTGAGGGACTCAGAACAAGGGAAGAAACTTCTGCACACCATACCCAGCAACCCCAGACCTGCCAGAATGTACGGCCTGCCAAAAACTCACAAGCCTGGTATCCCACTGAGGCCCATATCCTCG